CCCTTCCCTTCCCTTCCCTTCCCTTCCCTTTTTTTTTTTTCCCTTTTTTTTTATTGCCCTGAAATAATCTGGAAAGTTTAATTCAGCTCTAACTATTTCAAGACATTTATGTATAGTTCACTTAATTTTCTCTTGGGTGTGTCTTTGGGATCACAAATAAGATAATTTTTTCAAAGTAGTGGCAGACCTTAAACAAACTGATATAGAAGTGCAATAGATTCATATTTTTCAGAACAGCTGCTCTGTAGGGTAAGAATTCTCCCTGCTTATGTTGGAATGTTGAAATTTTTGCTCTGAAAGCAGAGTTGTACACCAGTTCAATTGTGCTTAATGAATGGGAGCTTTGTCCTTCCTAGTGGCCATTGTGAGTATTCTGTTGCACTGGGGATTTTTCCAAGAGGTGTACACGGGGTGTAAATGTAGGAAAGTAGCTCTTTTGAGCTCTGTGCTGGCTGTGCAGGACTGTGTGTGTACTTTACCACCTTGCTACTGACAGCCACGCTGCTGACTGCTGTCTGCGTGCTGAGGAGCACCGAGTGCCTCGGCACTTGCTGCCTTGGGCTTGTGGTTGATTACTCCCCCAAGCACTGTGCGTGCTTGTGCTCACAAGCTGCTTCACGAATGCAGGGGATCCCACTGTCACGGGCCTCATACTTACAGTTTCAAAAATAACTTGTGTTCTGCTGAATGGTACTTTTGTAGTTTGTATAGGACAGCTGGAGCATGCTGTTATTTTATAGCTATTTATCTTGGATGAGACACTGAAACTGTACAGCTGAGTGAACAAGTTATAAACCAGGAAGTCAATGGATTTCCATTATTTGCTACTGTTTGTCCTTGGATGAACATTTTACCTTTTATGATCCAGAGTATGATAGTATAGACCTTTCTCATTCAAAAGTCTAAATTAATTGACTTTTAAAAGTTTGGATATCCTCCCAGGACAGGTTTTACTGAAATACAAAGCACCAAGAATTGGCTCACTGATGTTTATTATGCTGTGAGTATGTTTTAGTCTTTGCTGGGATATTTCAAATAAATTTTTAGTAAAATTTGTTGTGTAAAAAATGGGTTAGTCTTTTATAAAAATTAATACCAATAAGAGCTTAAAAAGAAAAAATAATTCGAGATATAATTAATTAAACATGTTTTCATATCTGATAATTTTAATAGTTTCCCAGTGCTGTTATTTGGGAAGCTTTGCTTCATTTCTGCCATGTATCTTGCGTAATAACAAAATACATAAAATGCCCCTGAAATGAGCAAGTAAAGTGTAGTCATGTAATTAATCTCTGAGAATTTTCTTCATGACCAAAGCAGAGGGTCAGATTCTAGGTAATGCTCTAGATTGGCTGGAGTTACTTTTCTTTCCCTTGAATTGCAATGATTGGTGAAATTCAAGGAAAAGAATGTTCCTTAGCATTTTACAGAGGACAGTCATGAAACCTTGAAGACTAGTTGGCTTCTTGGTAGACTTTGGCTTTGCCTTTTTTTTAGTGCTGCTGTGTTCACTTGACAATCATTTTTTTTGCTGTGTGTTCTTAAGATGTTTTGAAACTAAGTTAATAATATTGTCACTCTTTGACTTAAAAACCATCTGTACTTTGCAGCTGTATGTACAGTCATCTGAACGAGAGTAATAGTGTTTTGCATTGCTATTAGTGTCCATGCCTATGGATGTCAGAGCTGCTCTCCCACGTCTTCAGCTGGGTGGAAATCTGATGGGTGTCTGGTCCCCATTTAAATAATGAAATTAAGTTACAGTAATCACATTGCTATACCACTCTGTTTCAGAACATTAATTAACCCTGTGGTTAATCCCTTGTATAGATTATTGTCGATGCAGTCTTTTTAAAAGTTTTATAGGAATAAATCTTTAATGAAGTGTTGCCTTCTGATGAGAAGGCAAGGCAACCTGGTTTCAAGGGACAGCACGGCAGCCTGGCCTTTCTTGGGCCACTCAGGCCACAGACATGCACAGACACCAACGTGGTGGATGGTCAAATGGCATTTATTATCTTATCTTGTGAGGTTAAATAGTCAAGGGGGACTTTGCTACGTCAAAGGAAGAAGGTAGGGTCTTTAGAATTAGTAAGGAGTGGAAAACTACTGGGTTAGGTGGGGTTACGTGTCTTGGGGGTAATGGATCACATATCACAGGATAAGGGGGAAGTGTCTTGTTTTCCATCACATCCCGAAATCTTCTGTTCCTTATCTACCACAATGAAGCATCTTAGAGTTATCAGAGAGTCTTAAGTCTTAAAAAGTACTGGTTTTCCTACTCTTTCATTGAAAAAGCTGATGTGAAAAAATAATTTGCTCAGTAGATGAAGCTTTGTGTCTGTGGGGTAAAGGTTTGATTTTTGTGAAAGCAGTGCAACATGGATAGAGATACAATTCTGTATTTAGACATCACTTGCAGAAAGAAAATTTAAGAGTTGTCCCCTCAGATTACTGATGCTTCATTTCTGTCCTATTTTAGGCCCAGCCTATAGGCTGGGCTTGACTGTAATCCTTGACTTGCTCTGTGGTTTAACATGTGAAACTATTTTCAGAAAATGAAGGTGGAGAATGACCTACCTGAAGTGATCACTGTGTTTGTGATATCACAAAAAAAACCTCCTGCAGTAGTCTGGAAACATGTGCACACTGCATGTTCAGAGGTCAGGAGTGTGTTGGCCAACAGACGATGATGCTGTGTTCTTGCCTGTCACTGCATTTTATTACACTGCGAAGGACAACTAAGAATTGTACCTTTCCAGCCAATTACTTTCATCTTCTCTTGTTTTAATTAACAACCATTTTCATAGCTATGCTTTTGAAATAAAATCAGTGTCTGCCTTTGGATGTCAAGGCACTCTGAAATATTATTGCTAAAGGACAAATTCTGTAGAAAATATTTCTGCCTCTTACTATGGAAGGGAGGGTCTATGTAGTCCTTGGTCACTGTTTTCTCTAGAGTGAGCTGGTGTTAGGATTATAATTCACAAGTTATCTTCTGAGGCCATAAGAATTTTTGCCTTGATCTCTCTTGCTTATGTAATTATAGACCACCTGAAACCCAACTTGTCACTGAAGTTCAAATCTTAATGCACTTCAGTGCTTCTCAGCTCATCGTCTTAATGGATGTCAACATGGATTTAAAAGACCTGACCTTATTTTAGGAAATAGCTTCTACAGCAGAGCGCTGAGGCTGCACATTTGAAACGTTTGAGAAAGACTAAAGATACACTTTCTTTTAAAATGCCTTTTAAAAAATTGTGATGAGAAAGTGTCAAGGATTTAACCTATTTTTCTCAAATGATTTGGCCTCTGCATGTTCACTGGAGGCTCAGCAGACTGCACCACAAGCATGTGTATACATAGCTTTTTTGTATAATTTTTGGAAATGGAGAAAGATGCTCAGCCTTAGTAGAAGAGTGATGCTTCTTGTAGTGTGTTGACCCTGACTGGATGCCTGGCATCAGCCAATGCCTTTCTCTCATATTTCTCCACTGCTAGACCTCTCACACAGGAGAGAAAAATTAATGAAGGGTCCATGAATTGAAATGAGGACCAGGAGAGATCACTCACCAAATACCATCATGGGGAAAAGAGGGTGCAATTTGAGACAGTAATTGAATTTATTACTAAAAAATCAGAGCAGGATAATGAGAAGTAAAATAAGACTTTAAAAATACCTTCCCCTCCACCCCTCTGTCCTTCCCAACTCTACCTGCTCCTTCAATGGCACCAAGAAATGGGAAATGGGTTATGGCTTATTCATCACAAGTTGTTTCTTCCACTGCTCAGGGAGAGGGGGCCTTTCCCTCCTGCACTGTGGGAGACAGTTCTCCATGAACTTCTCTGGTGTGAGTCCATCTTGTGAGCAGTAGCTCTCAGTGACCTGCTACAATGTGAGTCCCTCCCAAAACCTCTGCAGCATAGGTCACTCTTCCACAGGGTGCAGTGCTCCAAGGACAGGCTGCTCCAGTGGGAGCTCCTCTCTTCACAGGTCTCCCATGAGTTCACAGCCTCCTTAGCTATCACATAGAAAAAACATCTGAAATAATCGAGTCTAACCTATGACCTAACACAACCTACAGTCAACTAGACCGTAGCACCTAGTGCCACATTTAGTCTTTCCCATCCTCCAGGGATGGTAACTCCACTACTTCCTTGGGCAGCCCATTCTAATGCCCAGTCATCCCTTCTGTGAAGAACTTCTTCCTAATGTCCAACCTAAACATCCCCCAGTGCAGCTTAAGACTGTTTCCTCTTGAACTGTCACTGGTTGTGTGGAAGAAGAGACCAAGCTCCACTGGCTTGGATAACAAGCCATGTTCTGAAATCTTGGGTGGGTTTTTTGGGCACTGCTTAAAAGTACTGTGTTCACACAGTTTGGCCTCAAGCTCATGGTCACTTTGGAGAATGGCATCCCATTTTTTCACCCATGAAATCTTACAAAAATTTTTGGTGTAGGGACTGCTCAATTGCCCAAGTTATATAATATATTTACATCAATATACTGAACTTTTTCTGGTACACTGTCATTGCAGATAAAGAATTTTTTCTTCATCTCACTAAGGCCTCTTGTGCACTCTGTTACAGGTAGCTCCTCTGGGGTCTACCTGTAGAATAGCAGTACCAACATACAGAAATGAATTTGTGAGCTGTTACTGGATATTGATTACAGGGGGGGGAAGGTGCTGAAAAACAAAAACAAAACCAAACAAAAAACCCCAGAAGTGTAAAGATCCTGCAGAACAATGAAGGGATGTGTTTACAATGAGAGAAGATTGCTTTTCTCATTGATAACTGTATCCCATTTCTTGTATTCAGTAAAAATCCAAGGAAAGGAGAAAAGTTTCTCTTGCCCTTCAGATAGCATTTCCAGGCTTGTTTTTGATGCAGAAACTCATGATATGACCAAGTAACAGCAGCAGGTAAGTTAGACAAAATGTATCTGACATTAGTGTTAAATTTCATTAACTATGTTTTTATTGGCTATGCTGTGTGTTGCTCAAGGTTGGAGAGGACTGGCAGTATCAGGGAATGTCCTGATGGTCTCCAGAAGCCACTGAGACTTGTTATACCTTGTAGATGGTAGATTTTGTCTAGTTGAAGCAATGTATTTTCCCGCTGGGGTGAAGTAGCTGAATTGTGAGGCTGTAACCTGTTAGGTGCTGGGAAAGAAACTGTGAATAATAGAAGCTTTCTGTGGTAAAAGGCAGAGGACAGGTAAAAGGAACCTATTGTTTTCTTCTCCCCATGTCTTTAGAGAAAGAGATGAATGGGAGAGGTGACTTCCTGCTCGCCAGGTGCCCCATGCCTGTGGCTCTTTAGGCCTCATGAAGTTATTGCTCACTTCAAACTTCATCTGGGATTCTTTACAGATTCAAAGGAAAACAAAAAAAAATCGAAACCAAACCAAACTAAATCAAACAAACAAGCAGACAAAAACCCCAAAAAACCAACCAACCAACCAACAAACAAACAAATGCTAAAACCAGAAGAGGAAAAAATACCCACTATGGTCAATGTGCTATTTTGCCTACAGTAAGAGAAAGATTTCCTTGTGTAAACTTGTATATAGTGAGAACAGGGGTGCTTAAACAAGCTTACATTACTATAATTTATTTCACATTATTAATCATCACTGTAATAGATATATTTTACATAAAACAGGTTCTATAGCATTTTATGTGGGGTTTTGTTGTTTTTGTTCTTATTATTTCACTGTTATTGAAAAACAATCTATTTACCTCTGTTGTTTTCTTGTGGTTGTGTTTTGCCTCTTTTTCCTGCCATTTGAAATAACAAGAGGAAGATCCAAAATAGTTGCACAGCTGGTTTCACACTGATACATTACATCTGTTACAAAAAGATAGCACATTGTTTCTTAATTTTTAAAATTATATTTCAGGTATCTCTTATATCTACAAATAAAAAGGGATATTTTCCATGGCCGTTTGCTGTGTTCCTTTTCTGATGCTGCCTACTTAGGTGCCTGTATAGTCCAAGGTAAGTATGAGCAGAGGCTTCTTTAAATACTTCACTCATATGTTGGTTCTATCAAATAAGCAATGCAAAACTTGTGTGACTACAGCTAGCAGTAACTTGTTCTTCTTGTTGTTGTACTGTTTCCCTGTATCGACATGCACTGCGAAGCATTGTAAATAATTCAGCCAGTTAGCCAATGAAGTGGAGCTTAAAAAATTAAACCAAATACGTTATCTTAGTATTTTATTGAAGAAGTCTGGCATCATTGTTAGATTCCACTTACCAAAAGAGAAAAAGTCCTTTCTGAATTCTGAATGGAAATGTAGCCTATTCAGTTAGAAGTAAGCAGGAAAAAGTGTGATTTGATGCCCTTTCTTATGTTAAAGAAGACCTATGTGATGATAGAATCTCTGACAAAAATATAAGATGTAATTCAAGGGGAAAGAAATTTTAGTTTATTTTCCCAAATTTTTTCTTTTCCTCTCTCTCTCCATCATTTCCTTAGGACCAAATTCAGATAGATGTCTTGAATTGTACAGAGAGGAATAATCATCCATCTATATCTGATTAGGCAAACCATGTGTGTGAAAGTTCTTTTTATTCTGCCTTAAGGTGAACAAAGCTCTTAATGCTTTAGAAGGCAGTGCATCCAAACCAAAACTGAACCTAGCCCTAATTAAATGAGGCTCATTCAGAAAATTAGAACACCAGGTCTAATGTCAGGTTTGTGTACTTAAGTGACACATCTTTTAGAAGAGAAATTAAGTTCTGCCAAGTACCTTGATTAACACTGTGGCCTGTGTTTACACACTGACAGTCCATGCCTGTGTAGAGAAATCATGTGAAAAAGGGGAGAATCAGGAGTCCGTTATTTTAGATCTACCTGGTACCAGAAAAATAGATGCTCAAAGGGGAACATTGCCAATACTTCTGTTTTACAGAGCATTTTCTGCCACAGAAAATAGTTCAGTATTGCTAATTAATGCAGTAGTTAATAAGGCACTGAGCTTCTCTTGAAACTCATTTACTAAAGTGACAGATATAAGGATTTTGCTGTTTGAGTTAATGATAAATTCCTCAAAGAAGCATTTCTTGAGATATACTAGATTCTTACTGAGTGTGGAAGTACCTTGAATTACAGTACATTTACTGACTTCTTTCCCTGTTAATTAATGTTGCAATTTAATTCTTCTGTTTTGTTTTGTGTTTTGGATTTGTTCAGCTGAGCTTGGTGATTATGATCCTGATGAACACCCAGAGAATTACATCAGCGACTTTAAGATTTTTCCCAAGCAGTCACAAAAGCTTGACAAGAAAATAGCTGAAATGCATAAAAATGAATTCAGGTAATTTATAATTCTATTTGGTAAAGAGACAGCTAAAAAATACTTTTATCTGTTTCCAAGTAGCACATGTTAACTTAGGAGGGTTTGTTCCATGAATTATAATAGAAGCTCTACCAACATGCTGTATGATAGGCTGTATTTGAAAATGAGGTTTCAGCTTAGGGGGTTTTCTTTGCTTGTTCACCTTCATTAATCATAGTTGATTCCTGCATAACTGCTGGCAATTTAGACTTCATTTGCTTGAAATGTAGGTCTGGTTAGTGGGAACAGCTCTCATGGTCAGAGCTGCTCTAGTTGATTAGTGGAATAACATCTTTCATTTAGGTGGCACACATTCTTCGCTCAGAAATTTCTGTCTGTAGTGCAATTCTAAATTCTTGGTAGATATTGATCTGATTGAAATTATAATTAGGTTATTTTATCTGTAAGTGGTTAACATAGTGGTGAATTGCACAGAAATATATTAAGGAAGTATTTAAGTAACTTCCTTGGAATACTAAGGAGGTGAGATCCAAAACTCTCTGCATGCTCTTTTTTCTGTCCTAACCTTTTAGTACTGTAACAAAAGGCAAAGGAGAAAACAGATTAGTCAATTGTTTGGTTTTTAAGTTAAATGGGTTTCAGGAGAGAAGGAGCAGTGAGCTATGCAACTATACCCTCTTCAGGGTTGTTAGTGAATGACATGCTGAGTATCTAGAGGGATATTTTAAGAGGCCCTCGGCATCTTACTTAGTTGAGGATGGTCCTCAGAACACGGGGAAAGGCACAGGATGTATAGAAAATCAAATGAAATCAAGGACTTTTTTATCGAAATATCACAAGGCCCTTTGCACTTGCTTACTCTGTGTCCCTGTGTTCTGTTTTCATATTTCAACATATGCAAAGAAAGGAGAAAAATTCCTTTTCAGTAGAGTTAAAGCTTAAAATGCTTTTTATTTCCAGAAGTCTAAAAAATACACTTTTCAAGTACAGTTCAACACTCGTGACAATAAGCTTGACAGTATTAATGTGTCTTCTCTTCTTTTTTTCCTGAAATCTATATACTTTCTTTGCATTTCTTTCAATGAAATGATGTTTTAAATGGTTTCTATTTAACATTTTTAAAGCAGTTCAGCCTGCACTGTACATAGAAACAACATTTTAAAATAAGAATAACTTCTTTTACTGTCAGTATTTTTCCATACAGTGTCTACAGATTTCCAAATGATAAATTCAATCTTTAAAAACCAGATATTTCATCAGTTAAGTCAAGGTGCTATTGAAAAGTCTGATAAATTCAGTCTTTCAAGAACAGGCTCATACTTTACTTGAAGTTAGGAGAAGAGAAGGAAAGCTGGTGGGGAGTTTTATATTTTGTAACACTAGGAAGATGTATTTTTCTGTGTTGGTTTGCTTTCTTATGTATGTGTAATTCTGCACATCTTTTGTGAATGCAATCATCTCCTGTCTTGAATAACCAGACATATTTTTATGTATCTCTAATAATAGTTCTCCTGTTATGAATAACGCGACACATTTTTAGCTCATCTTTTAAATCCCCTTTTCTGTTGGTGTAATCTGTCTGATCCTGTGACAGTAAACATTATAAACTTTCACACAGGTCCCTCTGGGATTCTCCAGGTCCTGAATTCCTTCCATCCGTGGTTGCTCAGCACATGAGGATGTCCCTGAACTTCTTCAGTAGTCTTGTCAAGGGACATTATTGCATTTTGGAAATCACATGATATCAGGATGACTTTTTTTGATTGTCGATCTGCTGGTTCCTACAAAACAAACAAACAAACAAACAAACACACAAACAGGAGGTGTTTGAGGCATAACTATGATTTATAGCAGAATTCTTCTCATATATTCCACTTATATGCTCCTTAATTTGCTTTCTGTTCTATATTTTACTGATTTGTATGTTATGAATTTTGTGCTCAGTGGCTCGTAGCTCTTTCCAGCCCTTAAGAACTGCCATCTTCTTTTCTGTTTTCTTTATTTATGTCAGCATCTTATGTGCCTTACCTATTTGTCTATTATCAGAGAATAAAGGCAGTTTCAGAACTGTCTGGGTAGCTGCTATTTGGTAGTTTCCCACTGCAGCTCTTTATCTTCCCCAAACTAATCATCCTCTAACATTTTTTACATCAGACATTTAATTTTTAGTTCTGATAGGAAATATTGCACCATGTATTTATGGAAATGTTATGTAAAAAGCCTTGAATTTACCTGAAAGCCCCCCACAAATATTTACTTTTTCAAAGATACATGACCTGTTCAAATTCTGGTTTTCAATGATGAACTCATATAGATAAATATAAGGGTTTTTTTATTCCCTTGGGTGGCCAATGTGCATGCAGACTTAAGATACCTGAGTGTTACTCAATAGGCTTTTGTCACTACTTTGTGTATCAAGGGCTTTGCAGGAATCATACATAAAAGACTGTCTTTTGGGAGAAGAAAATTTTCCTCTGAGGGTGTGAAATCACTGCCATTTTCTGATAATAACTATCTCAGAAACCATTAAAGGGAGTATTTTCTTGAAAACCAGAGTAGCAAATCAATGTTTGTCTTTGATCCAAGCTAAATGGGAGTGTTGTTTCAATTTGTTTTGAAAGGCATATAACATTTTTATCCTTTGCTGCATCGTCTACATTATAGCTACTCAGTGAGGATTTAAGCATGTTTCAATTTCCTGTGCTCCTTTGATTCTTACTCGGCCATCCCATCAGCTCTTATGCGGCTTCTACACTGGTGCCAGCAGGAGCACAGGATACTCCACCAGGGTGGCTCTCCAGGTCTTGTGCAGCTGTCAGTGGAGCCACTGGCAAGCATAACCATAAATGTTACTGTCAGAGTGCAATCTGGGAGGCTGCCCTAAAAGACTTGGCAATGGTTGCTAGAAAATGCTTTTCCTTGTGGGTGTTAATATAATTTCATTTAAGATTAAACAACTTCTTGCATGCTGTATACATTGAAATTCAGCATACATTGAATACATTAAAAAAAGCACTAAAACTAAATTTCAGTTTAGCTAGTCCAGTATAAGGCGGATTTGTTTCATTTAAGTGCTTCTTACAATGAGAAGTGCATATTATATGGTTTTATGTGTAATGCTGGTGGCCCACTCACATACACTTTAAATTTAGCTTCTAGTAGTACCTTAATCACTTTGGTATCTAACAGCTCCATGTACAATAAGGGAATTCAACTGAAAGGACAGACAGTAAGCTCCAAAACTTGCAAATCATGTTACAGGAGACGGAAGTCACTTTTCTGGGGATCACAGATCTGTTGAGGTTTATGTGCAGCTGAGGGGATGTGTGGAAAAGAGTAGGGCTTGGGCTATTGTAGGGGTAAGTGCCTTCCAGGCCTCAGGGCCAAAAGTCTTTCTAGTTCCTGGTTATTCAAAATATACTGAGGACTTTGGAGGACTGAGTCCAGTGTCCTGTCATTTTAGCTTTGGTATCACATACTGCCTGAGCTTTCCATTGAAGTAATTTAGATTTGTCTATCAGGCCGTATGTTGGCCACTATCACCGCTTGAAAAAGAAATAATTCTCTAAGTATCAAAACATCATTGTGTGTGGTGTAATAGGTGAATAATTTGTTTCTATTCTGCTACATTTTCCCAGTGTTTTCACTCCAGAATTCATATCAGTTGTAATCTGGATGAATCAGAGAGATGGTTGGAATGTAGTCGCCTAATCCTTGCCCTGAAGCATTCCACGTGTGCTGATTTCCTGAAAGCTTTTTTCTTACAAACCATATCTGTTCTGACAGAAGTCAGCTTAAAACTAATTCAAATCATGGAACTGTTCTTGTAATTCTGGTTTCACTAACTAGAAAATAGTAAGAATGAGATGTTGTTTTGTTTGATTAATATTTGCATGGTACAGAGAATATTTCCAGGAACTTTATTTTGAGGCACAGCTTTTCCTAAGTAGAAATTTATTGGAAGACGCAGTTGTAGCAGTAACCTAAAGAAAGGAACTTCACAGACAAAAGAGTTGTCTTTTCCATTCTCTTTTGAAAAATGGAAAACATATACCAATACATGGGATTTTTCTTATTAGATAATTCCAGGAAGTATTTAATAGAAAGGATAATCTACTTGAGATGAAAAGACTGCAAAATTTATGAAAACATTAATAATCTTTAGCTTTAGGAGAGATTTTTCGTGTGTGTATGTGCACTCACGCATGCACTGCATTTCTTTACTTCTATATTCCCTGGGAAGAGTGGTCATAATCATGCTCTGCAAATGTCATTGTTTTTATCATGATAGTTGTTGCCTGTCTCATGATAAGGTTTGGATTCAGGTTCTGCATACTTAACACACTGATATTTTCAGATGTCTAGGTGAAATTTTAAAATGTACAGATTTCTTCTTCAGCTGGAAGGAACTATTTCCTCTGCAACCTTCTTCCTCCTCACCTCTTCTCTGTTTGGAGAAGGCTTTATGGGCTAGATGTGCCTGGACCAGAAGTATTGATCTTCTCTTATAATAAAACTAGAAAGCTTAGTAGATTTCTCTGTACCATGGGAATAATACATTTTAAATTAATATTGGGTTAATTAAAACTGCATGTCTTCTGCAAACGTGTTCTGTCTTTGAATGCACTTAAAGCTGTCTGTGTCACTGCATCAGTTTATCAAAAAAAGCTGAAATACAAATGTCTGAACACAGACTTCAGAGACACTATCTAATTCTGATCTCTGAAGGCACACAAGTAATTTGAAATGTTCTGGTAGAAGGAGTTATGTAAGTGTCGCATACTATCAATACATGCATGCATTTGATAGACTGGTAAAAGAGTTTGATAATTGTTTTAAAGTGATTATTTGGGTTTTACTGGGATTCTATTTGTCTGGGAAAAAACCGACATTGCAGTAAAAGTTAAAATTGGTATTTAAGTATTCTGCAGCTTTCTAAGTTTAGTATATTTCAGGCATCTTCAGCAATTCATTTACTTCCTAGATGATAATATTTCTTTCCTTGTACAGGTCCATTTAAAGGCTTTCCTCCACTAGTGGCAGATTGGGCAATTCCTGGGGAGCTGCACTGCTGCTTGAGCAATGTGCTGAGGCTGGCCATATTATTCTGATAAACTGAACTACAGCCTACAATGCAATTTAATTTACCAGTGTTGTCATTTATTGCTTTTCTTTGAGATTATCAGCACCATTGTGCTATTTTTGCCACTACAACTAAAAGACTAGCAATCATAGCAGGTTTATTTCAATTACACATAGCACCATTATTGCGACTAAAATTAGTAGCAAAAAGACTTTATTTAAAAACATCTCCACTATCTGCAAAAATATTCTGACCTTAAAGTAAAAGCTGAGCAGGACCATTAGCACTGTAATTTCATAACAATTGGAGTAATGTAAAATGATTTAAAGATGTAACAGCAAAAACTTTATCACGTGGTAAGCAATTCTGTGTTCAGTGTATAGTGCAGATGTGTGCTGATTTTTTAGTAGAGTTCTAGCATTATTTTAGGTTAAAAGGATTCCTTGGTAACTCAGTTCTGTTGGGAGATGTCCTCTACAAGCTCTGGGATATAACAAGAAGAATATTTAATTTCTTGAAGTTGTTACTGTTGTCTCTCCTGAGATCACAGTGCAATATGTCCAAGGTTGCAGGGCGCTGATGAGACTGAGCCTCTGTTTACATATGGCTGGTGTCCCCACTTTGCATATAGGTGAATATGTAATGTCTGTAGAGGCCAGACAATTAGGTGCATATTTATGTGTTATTTTATTAAAGACATTCATACACCTTACACACCCCAAATGTCCAGAAATTAAACATAGATAGTACATACTCCAAGAAAGCATTGCTATTGTATGCTGCAGCAAGTACATTTTCTTAACATAGAGATGAAGTAAAAGGCTGGACTGTAATTTTTATTATTATTAGTTTGTTAATTGTAGTATCTCATAGCACTTTATAAGTCAATTAGAGAATCAGAGAAGACAAATCAAATTATCTGACTAATGACACTCAGGAACCAAGGGGATGAGAATAGCACAGAAAATTATTTTTCTTTGCTGTTTTTGCTACATGGTCTTTTTTGTCAAAAGGAGTTAATGCTCAATCCTGTGCTATTTCATCCTTAATTTGTGCTAAGATTTACAACTTTAGTATGTAACAGATACATACTTCAAAGGAAAGGTATGAAGGGGAGAAACTTCTGGCATGAATTGGTATTGGCAGTAAGTGAAGCAAGTAGCCCATCCCTGTGACACACCCTGGAACTTACTCCCTGTTGAGCTTCCTTGCCCTTTGGGAAATAAAAAGAGCTTTACATCCTCTAGAGCATATTTCTCATGAGCCTCAAGTTAAAACAGAGTGTGTTGCATATTTCTGAATGTTCTATTGAAGTATTTGTTTCATTAAAATTTTATTAGGAACTTTTGGATTGATTGATTACTAGAGGTTGAATAATTAATTCATAGCTAATGTCTGTGGAGCTCTAATTTTACAAATAATCCACTTTTGGTTATTTGTATGGTATGCAGAAACTTTTCTGAGTAGTAGTTCCTTTTATTTGGTCCTGTTCTATATCTTTGCCATAGGACAGATGGATGCTGTAGTGCCTGAATCATATAGAAAGAGAATATATCTTTCCCTTAAGATATATGATATATGATACATGATACTGTGATATATTATATTAACTAATACTGAAAAATAAGGTCAAAAGCAATAAATGCACTGAATTTCCTGAGAGTCCTGAGTTCTAAAAAAATAAATATGTATTGCCTAAATATTCCCCATTTTTCCACTGTAAATCACTTGCATAAATAAGTACACTATAAATTCTTGTGTAAGGCTGGTTGTTGCAGCCTAAAAAGCCTAAAGGCTTTTTAACAAAGCAAATCAAAGGCATATCTAATGTTAGAACAGTGATTGATAAAAAAAGTTGACTTTGCTGATAGGTTTTCTTACAGTTATATTTTTATTTAGTAAAAAGATTTCATTACTAAATTACACATGAAAAGCATATTATCAAGGATTAAATGTTAATCTTTTGATAAGAGATGAACGAGGATTTTTCCATTTGATATTGTCCTTGACTCTTGTTCTTCGTGATGGTCTTTTAGGGCTTTGCACTGTAGCCATTTGATTAATCTGTAATCAGATAAGATCAAATTTGTCCATGTCTTCTGATGTTTTCCCCCCAAATACTACAGCTTGTTGCACTTGATGTACACAGCATCATCATAGTTGCAGAGAGGAGGGTATACCTACATGGGAGTGGAACCTGATAATATTTTCTTTAATGTCTCTTTAATAGCAGCAGCAAGATGAGGTTTTCTTCCCATTTAAGTATGTCAACTCCCTAAACCACATTGTTGCAAACTACTTATCACTTTTTGGTCCACTGAAACCAGAAGATTGCCTATCCTTTGTACCAGCAAACAGAGGTGGATTAAAAAATGCATTTTGTAATCCTTTGTTTTTGTAAGGCCCAATATCTAATAAGCAACCAAACTATTTGTTCGTTTTTTCAGCATTCAACATAACTATTCAAAGTAATTTAGGTCAAACTAATTAATTGCTTCTGTCAAATGCAGTTGACTGGTACATGAAGTAAAATAGTTGGTTTTTTTAGGGGTCATTTATGGTCTTACAGTTGTGATGAGATATAAAGTTGTGATTTAGTAGTATTTAATATTGAGTAAAAACTTAGTAGAGCTACCAAAAAACTGAGTGGAAAAATAAACATTTTTGTTTTCATTGCTGCTTTTGTGCTGCTTTCTCCTTAACTATTATCTCTGTAAATAAACATTCGTAGTTTTTGGTGTTCCACTTAATGCATGAACTTCCCCCACTGGCAAGTGGTGAGGAAGAGGCTGAAACAGGAAAGACAAAGAAGGCCACTTCTTCTCTAATAGATATTTTTTAATTTAGAAGTCAAAGATCCATAAAAATGTAGTCTGAAATAAAGGGAAGGTGGTGTAGTGTCAAATAAATACTGAAGAAACCCAAGAAATATTATGAGGTTGACTAGGAAATGATGAACAGTGAAGTAAAAATTAGAAATTTTAAACTTTGTAACAGAAATGACACTTACATTGCCACAGGTCATCATCCTGTTATGTTCAAAATAAGATTTGATGTCCACAAGTATGCTAGATGTTTTTTTAATTGTTAACCTTAACTTTGGGTCAGATGTGCTGGATATCATATGTCAATAATTGTTGGTTTCTAACTGATGGAGAGTAGCAGGCTTTCAGGGAAATTATGCTACAACAATATACAGTGAAGTATTAACTGTTAATTCCTATGTACAATTCACAGTGTGAGGCTAGACTCAAAAAAAAAAATTAGGGGCAGAATAAAGTATGACTATCACTATGCTCCTTGAAAATTTGCTTATGGCTCTAATTTTTTTACATTTTTTCAAAATTTCAAAAAATTATTTGCATGGAAAGTATTTATGAGGTCTGGCTTTCTAAAGGTCCTAGGCACTGTTTGTTATCATAAAACCGTATTATCTTTCAAAATTATGTACTCTAGTCATATTGACCCAGACATGAAATAATACTTGAAACAGTTCACTTTCAAATGGGCATTGTAAGTCTGTGTTAAGAGCTGGTTGTAATGGCAGTAGTTACCAAATATCAGATAAAACTTACTCTAAACCCCAAGTCTTCATGCCACGTTTAGGGCTCTAGTGTATATTTGCTGTTGATTATAGACACCCTAAAAATAGGGGTGTATAAATGGAAATGCTGACAGATTCTGAGCTATCATGTTGGTAGCAGGCACTGCTATAATTAGACATACATCTGAGTAGGCAGTGTAATATGATTGCCGTGTTTATACCCTGCACTAGAAGGAATGTTTGTTAAGCTTCACAGTCCTTTTAAATGAAATAGGGAGCAAGAGTTTGTGGAAAAAATATGCTGAGGTTTATTTTATAATCAGGATGACATGAGGGTATATCAAAAGACAAGAAAAATTTTCAAAATATGACATAATTCTTTTGTTATCTTGGGATTTATAAAAAAATCAGAATTTACATTAAAATATCAGGCACTGTACAATTCAGCAGAAGAAAAGATGTGAAAAGTTTTCTAGCTTTTTATTACAAACAAAACATGGTTGAAATAGTTTGAATGTCAGTAAAAACTTTCTTCTGTCTTTAGGCATTTAAATTCTCCAGTCATTCAGTCTTCTTCCTATTTCTTTTTGCTGTCAAACTTCTTTTTCTTTTGTAATTTCAGAGGTCAGAGCCCAGCTGTTGCTGAATTTAATTTGCTTCTTAAAGCAAATTCTTTGGAAACTTATGGTGTTGATCCTCATCCTTGCAAGGTAACAGTTCTTTTTACTAACTTTTAATAAAATATTCTTTTTACTAACCTTTAATTAAAAGCTAGTAATGTATTTGATTTAGCTCTGGTTTTTATCCAGGCACAAATAAGGAGCAATTTCTAAAAAACTTGCCCTGGAACTACATATTATATTTAAACCTTGGAAGAACACTGAGTGCTTAATATTTCTGCATCAGTCAAAAAAAGGGTCTCTCCAGAGGAAACAGAAGAACATCACAAGAGAATCTACTGGATTGTAATGGCATAAGCTCTGATAATAGTCCATAATTTCTTTTCATTTAGCTCAAATGTTTCTTTTAATTACTCAGGTATAAAGTATTTTTTTATTTGCCAAGATTTTCAGGATTCACCATTATTTTGACAAGAAAATGCAAAACATTGATAGTCCATGGCAGATCATATTTTTCTAACACCATCAAAATATGGAAATCTTAGGAAGAGCAGCAAGCCAAATGTACAAGGAGGAAAACCCACTCTCACTTCCCACTTTGATATTTTGTGGTCCTTTGTAAGAAGGTGATTTTAATTACCAATTCTGATATCTTATATGCGTGCATTTTTAATCACTTGGTTGTATCTGTATCATCTGCAGTATTTATTTTTAGACTGACTTGCTTTGTGTTTTAACTGCTGCTTTTGCTTTGGCTCATGTGTTCTCTTCTGCTGGGACAGCAGTACTGTTTAGTTACCCATTCTGGTGGTGATCATCCTTAAGCAGCCAGCTCTAACACAAAACTGTATATACATATATATGTACATATAGATTTTGAATAGATAGATTTTTGTATAGATATATAGATTTTTGTATAGGTATATAGATTTTGTATATACTTTGTCAGTTTCACACTTTACTGTGTGAAAGACAGGATCTGGTTCAGAGCTTAGTGAAGTCAGTGATGTAGTAAACTTTACTTTGAAACTGAACTACAGATTTTCAAAAGGCATCCCAGAAACTGAGGCATAACTGGTTCAGAATTACTTCTTTACCTGTGTGGCAGGGCTTGTAGTGTGGGGGCCAATCAGATGTTCTTCACCCATGCCTAAGGAAGATTTGTCTGTCTTCTGGAAGTGAACCTCAAAACAAGGTTCTTTGCAGATTCCTTATGACATGCTTCTTTCAGTGCTGTGGCTGCTGCTCCAGAACCATCCCTGTTTCTGTTCCCCTTTACTTTGTTGGTAAGACATAAGGCATAATAAAATTGATTATCTTCAGCAAGATGAGGGTATGGAACTTGAGATGGACAGAAAATTCAGTGAATACAAAATTCATCTCAATCATTAATCAGAAATTATAAGCCAGAACTTTTGTTGTGGAGCTGTATTTTAAAATTTTTCTTTTCTATTTAAAAGGCACGTACCACTATTTCTTGGTTTGCACTGAAGAGTATGTGAGACAAAACAGAAGCTTATATTAGTAAATGCTATCTGTCAGCAGTATTTTCAACACAACACCTTGCAGAGGAAGAACGTATTATGAAATCCTAAAAATATCATTGTTGAAGTGGTTATGAATCCCCGCTTTGTAGTTACTCCTTTTAAGAATAGGATATACATAGAAAATAATTTTCAAAAAATTTGGTAAGTCTACCCAAGGAGTCCCAGTTTTTATCAACTATAGGTAATTGGAAACAAAGCATAACATACTGTTACTCAAATGCCTAGAAAAAAAATGAGGTCTGTATTGGAAGGACTGTCCTTTCCTTTAGAAGTGTACATTTTGAAGGCAAAATTTGTTTTGAAGAGGAAAACAAAATAAAGGTAATCTAGAATTGAGTAACTATTTATGGTATCAGTAAGAAATCAGTAAGAAATACCTCAGTATCAGTAAGAAATATTTCATTGGATGAGGCAAAAGTTATGTTATGTTTCTTTTTCTCTTTCAAGGACTCATTCGGTACAACTACATTTTTAGGATTCACAGCTGCAGGATTTGTAGTTTTCCAGGGGAATAAAAGAATTCATTTATTAAAATGGTAAGCATATGATGTAAGAATATTTTAATAAATAAGCTTATCTTCTCCTGTGTCTTCTCTTCATACCATCTTCACCTGCATTAGTTGTCTTTAAGGAGAACCATGTGAATATTACCTCTCCTGCCTCCTTATGTTTCTGTTTTAAAGGATTTTAGATAACAACTACAACAATAACAATAACAAAAACAATTTTTTTCTCATTCAACTCCCAGTGAAAATTATTCCACAGGATTCATTAGTCAGAATAATTTACAGATGCTGAAACTGAGTAAGTTGATTTTTCAGCTATGATATAAATCTTTAGTAAGGTCTATTAGCAGAGAGTCCACCTTAATCTTTATTTGACTTTTGGAAATATTGCAGCTTCCTCATTTAATTACCCTCAGATTGAAAACTATAAAACAACTTATTTGGTAAGCGGAGGAGGTGGAGATGAGAATGCCTTTGAAATTTTTTTTTTTCAGTCTCTTTTTTTTAAGAAATGGGCACTTCTGCAATTGTCCTGTGTTTATCTGGTTTTGTTTCTATTTGAACTCCTGGACTTAATTTGCTAGCTTCAGTCAGCCACATTTGAGGAAGAGGTAAAACTGAGCTCCTGCAGATGATGTTAAGAGCAGCTGGCCACGCTCTCAGCAGTGTGGTACAAAGTGACCAATCATGCTCAGACATTGATAATCTTATTTTAGCCCCACTGCTACATGCATACCAACAACAGTTACTTAGGTATGACTGTTCCATCTCTGAGCTCTCAGCCTGTCTTGTGGGATCAAGAAACTGTAGAAACTTCCCAGAGTGTTGAATAACCTGAAATCCTCAAAAGTGTAAAATTAGCATAGTCCTGTCCATACAATTGAGTTCCCTGTGGAGCTCTGGGGACATGCCTATCAAAAGCCATCCATTTGCACTAGTGGATTTACAGTACAGTTTCCCCAGAGTTAATTGCAGGTAGTTGTGATCACAGTACTTCAGTGGTTTGTGGTTTTGGGACAAGGAAAACGTAACAGTAATGTCAGTCCAGGGCACACTGAGGAGACAGTAGCACTTGCCAAGCATGTGCCCACCATACTGTGGGAAATGAATCTCGCAGCATTTAACTTCTCATGTTACTTGAGGATAATGAGTCCTCTCGGTGATCTAGGCATACTTATTAAGTGCATTAATATGTAAAGCAGATAAAAAATAATGCAATGATGGAGGAAAAGCCCATAAACCCTCAATGTCACAGCAGAGGCTGAAAGGTCAGTCTAGTGAGTTTTATCTGAACACTATGTACTGCTTCTTCCATTTCAGAGGCCTAGAAATGAGTGCTAGTAGCTGTAGCTAATTTTAGCTGAAATTTGCACTACACAATAAAAACCCAAATTTTTGTTTGAGATTTTCTTTTCAGTGTAAAATCTTTCTTAATGATTTTTTGCTTTCTCATGTAAAAGGAAAACTCTTGTTATAAAGTTTCAGGTATAGCATTTTCCTTGCCTCCAAGATTATTCCTGTTTCAACTCTGACATCCAAAACTCTTAGGGAAATTTATCAAAAACAGTAGTGGCTCCATTTTAGCTCTGGTAATGAAAAAGATTCCATTACATGATATTGCCATTTTATGGTGCACTGTTATTTCATATGAAGTTTGAGCACTTAACCTTGATTAAATTAAATTTTGATGTAGATTTTGCAACTCACAAAGCCTATCTATAACAAATGTTGCTAAACATTTTCTTTTTCTTCTTGTTGTGTTCCGTAATAAGTAGTCTGTTACTGAGATGTGTGATATGAAGACTCAGACAAAAAAAGTATAGAGAAAATAACATTATCTTTCCCTCAATTTAATTACAATAGACATTCTAAGATTTTAAGATGTAAGAAGAATTTCAAACTGTGCCATAAATAGAATAAGCCTCTGTCTACCTTTAATTTCCTCTTCAATTTCCAGCAGACAAAGTTAATTCTTTAAAGGTACATAAGGATGTAAAATAAATACTCTGGGCTTATGTTCTTTAAAAAAATTAAAGTATTAAATAATTTTACCATAAATCTTTTAAGGCCTATGGAGGGCTTTTGTCATTTGATTGCCTGCTTGACTTTGGTAATCAGGAAAACTTACATGCTAGTTACTTTTCCTACTTGTAGATCTATCATTTTTTTCCCTATACTTAAATATTTTTTCTCTTTATAGGTGTGATGTCTATAAACTGAAATTTGAAGGGAAGACATTTTATGTGTTTGGAGCTCAGAAAGAGGTTGTGTTTAATATTTTTACAGAACTTCTCTATTTGATTAAGATTCTGTATTTGTACAAGACATAGTATATCTTTTAATAAAGAAACCACTAAATAATCAATAATTGTACTTAATATTGTAATTAAAATATAAAATATGAATGAATGTGAGTATTTTTTGAAAAAAATTGTCTAATTTGCAAAGGGTTGAGACTTTTCTTGCTTAATATTCACGCTGTGCTATGTGGATTGTTTGTGGTTTTGGACGCCTTTGGAGTCAAGCTTTATTTTTAAGTGCTAAAGTTGTACTCACCCACTCTGAAGTATAGAAGATGTCTGTATATGATTGCAAATTCAAGTAAGCACTGATATCTGGATTAATGTGAGGTATTTTTTTGATAATGACAATCCCATCCTCAAATCTAGGTGAGCTGAAAAGATTAGAGTGTATCTCATGTAATTAGGGGTCTTATCACTTGGCTGCTGTCATTAAAATTCTAGAGACTTTTGCCTACAACATGTTATAATCAGTTCTTTCCCTAGATCAGAGTGATATAGTCTAAGGTTATGGTTTTGAATGGAGGTGAGGGATTAAAATGAAGGAAGGAAATAATGCCAGAGGTATCAGGACTGCTTGTGTGGTTACAAGGAAATTTTGATGGTAGGACATCACATAGCAGGGAGGAGGGAGAGGTGGGTGGTAAGTAGTGCAGCAACTGTGTGATGTAGAGTATTGAACACAGAGATTTCCTTCATTTGATTTTGACTAGTTATATGGTTGTTTTAAAGGCCACTTGTCCGTATGCTCTTCCTTCACCCCTTGAAACATCTCCTTTTGTTTCTGAAAAAATTGCCTGGGTAGTTTAAATATCATCTATGTATGGATTGTACATCTGTAGGTGAACCACAGATTTACACTACACAGGAAAACTTGGTGTTCAGTGTATCTGGTTAAAGACTATGCTGTTAGGTAGAGCTGTTTCAATCACTGAGAATTCAACATTTTCACTGCTTTCATTTGGTTTCTTTTCCTTACACTTAGAAGAAGGCTGTGCTGTCATTCCATACCTCTACACCAGCAGCTTGCAAGCATCTTTGGAAGTGTGGGGTGGAGAACCAGGCTTTTTACAAGTATGTATGCCTGAAGTCATTATCTATACTAAAATTAAAAAACCAAGTGCATGTGAGTGGAAGATTGTTCATTGTGAAATGTTTCATTTAACTAACAGAAGGAAAATGTAAACAGAAAATACAAAAATTAATGGGGAATACAATTTCACTTCAAGCCAGTATTAGAAATTGTTTTAAATCTAAATGAGTCAGGAGGGTTTTGGCTCCAGCACAATGCTTTTGGTTCTCTGTAGTGAGATATTGGATGGACAGAATACTGCACTTGCGTCTGGGAACACAGCTGTTAATCTTAGCCCTGCTGTGGAATATGTTGAGAATGAAGGAAAAAGTCTGTCATTCTTTATTCTCTGGGCTCTTCTGCCAGGAGGTAATTGCTCTTCCACTTGAAATCCAAGGCTTAGTAAGAGTTGATTGAAAAATAAACAGTTCTCTTTAACAATTTAAGGAAGAAAATAAAATGTTCCTAGATACATTTTGAAAGATACCTGTGATCTCATTATACATAAAAAGCCTGTAAAATGATAAAAAAAAGTAGTATCTACCTCCCTATTCCCTGAAAGAGAACCTAATAATAATTCTTCACTAATAAAGCCTCTGCATTCTTTCTGCCCTCCACTGACTTTGTTAGATCTGTTTATTGATGCTTCCCTCTAGGCATGTAGCTTTTATTCTTGCTACTTAGTGTTTCCTTACAGTCTCTCACATATTTTATAAATATTACTGTTTCTGTGTTGGCATACAGCCACATCAGAGGGCTGCTGTAAGGGTAAATAAAAATGAAGTAGAAAAGATGTATCTTCTAACCTGAATGTTAATGATCTGCTTTAATTTGGAGAAGAAACTCTCTTCAGTTTTAACAGTGATACAATAACATATAATCTAGCCAACTGATATATTCAACCGGATAGAAAAAAGAAACAGGAAGTAAGAGCTGGCAAAATGCATTTGTTAATTCTCTATGTCAACATTTACTGTGCTTCAGACTATATCAAGCTTAAATATAGTCTATAATTAAAGATTAATTTGAAGTTTATCCTGAAGCATTTTCTGTTGTTAGATTTAAGTAGAAAAATACTGCATGGTGTTTGAGTAGTTTAATTTCATGTTACAAGAAATAAATAGGGAGCAGGAGATGATTTTCCCCTAAAGAAGACAAAGTACTTTCTTTGAGTAGAAATTATCTCCATGTAAAAATGTCTCAGGGAGACTCACAGGAATATCACCTCTCTGCTCTTGTTGTGAAATGGCTGTAATATTAACTATATGAATTTTGGTCACAAATACATCATTTATGGGGTTTGATCTTGGCTAAGTGCCAGATGCCTACCCAGCTGCTCTTTCACTTCCTCTACTCAGCAGGTCAGGAGGAAAAGGTATGAAAAATAGCCTATAGCTTAGTATAAAGATAAAAAGATTGCTTACCAATTTCTGTCACAAGCAAAACAGATTTGACTTGCAGAAGTTTAATTTAATTTATTTTTAACCTTTTCACTCTATTTCAATTTGTCAACAGAGACAGAACTAAAACCACCCTTCCCCTGTTTCAGTCCAGGATCACCTTTACTCCTTAATTTCTGATTCCTTTATGTCCTCCTTTTCCTGAGCAGCTCAGGGAGATTGGAAATAGAAATTGCAGCTCCTCTCTGCTGCTCCTTCCTTCTTACACTCTTCCTGTAGGCCAATATCCTTCATGAACTCCTCAAGCATGGGTCCTTCCCATGGGCTTGCAGTTCTTCAGCATATACCTGCTGCATCTTGTGCTCCTCTCCATGGGCCACAATGCCTGCCTGGAGCCAGCTCATGTGTGAGCTCTCCATGGACTGCAGCTTTCTTCAGACCATATTGGCCTGCTGCAGGGTCTTCCAGGGGCTGCAGTGAGGATATCTGTTCTGTATTTGGCTGCAGAGGCACAGACTCCTTCCCCACAGTTTTCTCCATTGGTAGAATCTGCTCCGACACCTGGAGCACCTCCTCCCCCTTGCTCTGCTCTGTTCTTCATGTATTCAATGCTGTTTCTCTCATCTATTTTTCTACTTTCCAAATTACTTCATGGAGTGGAATTATTCCTTAACAATGACTGCTTAAAGTTATGCTCCACCTGTTTCAATTGTAGTGGATCTTTCAAGAGGACTTCTTTAATAAAATGAAGATTGGTAATGTTACTCAATGGATAGGGACATGAACGATAGATTGGAAAATTGTAATGTTTAATATGCAGCGTGTAGAAGAATAACAATAATCCTTCAATTAAACTGAAGCCAAAACTATCTACAAGTAAAGCCTTAAGATAGTAGTTTTGAAAGAGCAAATGTTTCTGCACATTTCAGAGAAATAGAGTTGTACAGTGGGGACTGTTCGTTAGCAGCATTAGATAATTCCCATTTGTATAATACCAGCAAGATATTTTAATAAGATTAAAGAACACATTGTCAGATTATGTAAATAATTCAGGACAATGATACATTGCCTTAATTTAATTTGGTCCTCTCCTCTTCCTAGAAGAGTTTAAGACTTAGAATTTAAGGGAAGGTTATGATGATGTGACATGTTTTGAAAAACATACCTTTAGTCCCGTCTTGATCCAGGTTCAGGGGTCACTTGCAATTATTCAAGCAGATACTAATCATGGACAGTTGTTTACTAGGATCTGGGAATTAGAGACTCTACAAAATAAATTTGACATTTTTCAAGAGAATATCAAGGAAATAGCACATGAGGTACTCTTCTATGGTCTTTGTTATAAAGATAAAATGTTTCTGTGTACTTGTTGATTACAGAGAAGCAGTAGGGTATGATGTAGGCTACTAAGAAGCTGACTGAATACAGATATTGGAAAAGCACCTACTTCAGGAGACAAGTTGTTGTCTTTATTATTTCTTTGTTTGCCTAGTGAAAAAGTAGAAATAGCCATATTTTCCCACAAACAGGCTAGTGTTAGGGTACACATCTCAGAGCCTTTGGTATACCATGGTCTTTCCTTCATCCTGGCAATGAAAATTCATAGAGCTGCAGCAAGTGTCTGCATTTAATTTTCTTGTTTTCATGGCAATCACTTGTTCCATGTTCAGTCATTCTATGTTGTCTGAATAGTTTTATGTGTGCTTCACTGTCTAGTTTGTATAAAGGCCTTAAAAAAGATGAAAACCTCATTTTTTGAACATTACTTTATGGTATAAAAATTAGAAAGCTTGTATTGTTCCTTGCTCGTTTTTCCTTATTAAGTCCTTGAAAAGGTATCAGCCTCTGTTATTTTTTTCAAGGTATGCAAAGTCCAGTCAGATCAAGACAATGTCCAGCAGCAAAATATTTTTTAAAGGCAGTAGATTTCGATATAGGTGAGTGTTTGCTGTTTCTTATTAATGGTAAATCATTTCAGGAAGTAAGAAAATCAAAGTAATTATTCATGGCAAATTCAGGGCTGTTACTTCTGGAGCGTCTGTTCATGCCTACCTGACATCAAAATTTGTAAGTCTTCCTGTTGTCTTTTCTAGCGTCACCTAAAAAATAAGCAGGAGTTGTCACACAGGCTCTTCTGTCAAGAGTAGTTCCACCAGCAGATAGCTCCACTTTTGGTGCAGCTTCTGTAAAAACTAGGATGTGTGGCCAGTGCAGAGATTTTATGCCACCTGCAGCTGAGCAGCTCTGAACCAGGTGTGACATAAAGAGGCAGTCCAGTTCAACCTGTGGTGTTCTACTACAATAAGTTGCTTTTTCTTTGGTAGCTTTGTGGGCAAGTACTCAGCACAATTCTGGGACATTATGTATGTACTTTATTGCAATTTTTTAAAATGTAACTTAATTGTCTACATTTATGTAGTTCTTGGCATGTGTTTTAGTATTTACTTGAATATTCATTTCATCTTTTAATGCAGTGGAAAAGTAGCCAAAGAGGTTGTGGAGGCAAGCTCTAAAATCCAGAGGGAACCTCCTGAAGTTCACAGGTATGTCTCCACATTCAGTATTAAAGTTTAAGGACTAGGTAGGATTATTGCTTCTACAGAAATATTCTCCTTCCTTTTCTATCAGTTGCAATGGCTGTCATTCTGAGCTTCCACAATTATGCATGCAAGCCTTAGGAAATATATGTCTGACAATGCTACAAAATTCAGACAAATGTCTCCTATAAAGGAGAACCTAATCTGTGCTGCTTTGAAGCTGAGTTTTACTAATCAGTCAGATTGATTACTTTTATTATTTTTTCTGTAATGTCATAAGCTCTTATTATATGATCCTGACAGAAAAATACACTCTAATTTCATTCCTAGATTTTGTTTGATTTTGAAAGTTCTTGGTTTGTATATGTTTATGAGTATGTTTCAAAGTATACTTCTTAGTTCTTCCCTAATGCAGTTGGATGGAAAGAAAAAGCATGAATTTCATTCAGTAAGGAGGAAAAAATATTGTAGAATCTTTTTTTTTCAGTGGAAAATTTGGCTTGTAAGAAATAAGCTGCTAGACTTTGCAAGCAAACTAATGCTTTCACGTCCTTATCACTCGTTGTAGTGATAGTAAAAATTCCTAAGAATCTGAATAAAGCTCTTCAGAAAAGAAAGAGGCCTTCAGGAAAAACTACTTGAAACCTTTTTACTTAACAGTCTGAACATTCTACAGCCATATTCTTTTCTTCGTTACAATTTCATGTTTGGGGGAATATGCTTTTTTATTTTTAATTGAGTATTGCTATTCTGTTTATATTTTAGATAAAAATGGATTGTGTTTACTAAAATATGGAAATATATTTTCAATAAATATTTATAATATGTTGTCCAGCCCTACTATGTAATTAATAGTTAGGCCATGCAGGCATGCTTTCAAACATGTTTGTCCAGATTACATTTTAAAATGAGGTAATTGAAGATCTAGAATGTGTTAAATGATAACACAGACGGCAGAATATAGATGCACCATTGAGGCAGCATAAAGTACTTGGGCACAGAAATGCATTTTAAATGAGAATAGTTGCTCAGTTTAGGAAATAGCTTATTGCCTATTATCCAAGAAGTTTCTTTGTTCCAGGATAAGAAAAGATTTTCTTACATTTATTTTTTATCTTGAATTTTGCTTTTATTTGATTTCTCTATTTAAATGTATTTTAAACACATAGTTTAAAACTTAGTGTACAAAAACAAACAGATCAGAGAGCAAATAATTCTACAAAGCAACATCATATGGATTTAACATCCACAAATAGCAATGTATCTCTTTTATCGCTAACCTTCTTACAAAGCTTGCATTTATAATAGTATGGAAGCTCCAAGTTCAGTTTCTTAGAAAGTCTAAAGAATATAATGATTTCTGGTGCTTTTATAGCTCAGGTTGTGAAATGGGAGACAGAGGTATCTGATCCTTCTAAAAGCACAAGCAAGCAAAAAATATGGCAAATTTTCGGTTCAAAAAATGAGGCATGTTTTAAAAAAGTTACTCTGTGAAAGAGGATTTCAGGATAGGAAATGATGGCTTTTCAGAAGCGAAACATCCAGAAAAAAATATTTAATTTAATGTAAACATATATCTATATATCTATTTAAAGTTTTTTTTTCTCCCTGTGCTCTCACCCTCAAAGTCAATACAATGGTTGCATTAAGAAAGCAACATGCAGTTGAGAGGAGGGTATTGCTCAGTATCTCTGTGTTTGGATATTACACTTAAAGCACTGTGTACTGAAAATCTGCTGGAGTGTGGCGTCACGCAGGATTAATGCATGGCAAGTTCTTCTGCCAAACACAAAATGAATTATTTCATGTTTTGTTTCCAGGGCATGCCTGAATCCAGGGCATCTTTGTAAATAAGTATGAAACAGAAGCCTGTGGTTGCTCCCAGGCACAATTTGTATTTTGGGAGTTGTTTGAGAGCTTTTTACAAGCTCAAAAGTTCAGAGATTGCATAAGAAGCCTAGGAATTTACCATTGGATTGGAGTGACAATAATTATAATAACCTGGGTGAAAACCCTCTGTGGATAGTGAAAATTTAAACTAAATAGTTACCAGAAAATGCAAATGAGGATATAAATACCTTTGGACATGTATTACAGCACAAGAAATCATGTCAATTGAGCAAGAAAGCTTGTTTATTCCCACAGAATATTTACTGACAGGTAGTGTGGGTTAAGAGTTGGACACCTGTGTCCCAGGTTTACCTGAACCCTCAGCAACACAGAGAGTTCTATCTTCTGAGTTGAAATAGGGTCTTTGTTCAGTTTGTTTATGTGGAATTTTAAGTTGAGATTTTTGTGCAGACTTGAAATGCATTTTGTGAAATTTCAGCACTGTATCAATATACCATTTCAAGTCAAGTAGAATACTCTTCCATTTAATCTTTGCTCTTGTCAAAGTAAATGTTTTATAATATAATGTTTAAGATTTACTGCAGGACTCTTGCTTCAGGCCTGTATTGTGTAAATTGTAGATAACATATTAAAAAGAGCCATTTTGTATTCTCAGTAATACATTTTTAGGCTAATAAGCATCATGACTGAAGAAAATCAGCAGCATTCCTAAAACTTTCCAGAGCATATTTAACACCTGCTACCAGGAAAGCCTCTTAGAGTGAAGTAAGACAAGAAAGAAAAACAGCCTGAGCACTGGGAGGCATGGTGTAGAGGCAGCATCTGGGGTGCGTAGGCATGAGTGAGAGTGCTCTGTATCTGTAAACTGCAGGGACACAGTTGTTCCTGCTTTAGTCTTTGATCCTCAGTTTTCAAACTGTAACAAATCCTTTATCCAGTTCTGGAGGCAATGGAACAACTTTTCCCTTCCTTGAAACCAAATATTAATGTTTGCTGTTCACTGTGGAGAGGAGCAACACACTGAAATCCTGACTCAGACGAAAGGAAGTCAGGCAGTGTAAAGGAGCTAAATCAGCACAAAACCTCTCTTACACTTCAGATGTTGAAATGTTTACATCTGCAGAGGGTACAACATAACACAGCTGAAAGCAGCATTCAATGTGTAGAGTTTTTTACAACCGCTCAAGGCCTAGTAATTTATGCAAAATGATTCTGAGATGAGACCTACAAGGCTGCAGTTATTTTCAGTAAGCAAACTGAAATAACTGTTTATTATTATTTTGTTTTGAACAAACCTGTTTTCCCCATTCTTTTAGAACCAGCATTACCCAGAGTCGCAGCTCTCCCTCCTTGAACAAGCAACTCATAATCAACATGGAACCTCTGCAGCCGCTCCTTCCTTCTCCCTGTGAGGAGGAAGAGGTTCCTATAGATGAAGGTGAGTCACTAACCCAATTCCTGTTGACGTTTATTATAAAACATATGGGAAAAGGTGTGATACTGACTCAGGGATATGGAGAAAATATAATAATTTTCATTTGGTATTCCTAATTATTAAACCTCTGTATGTTATACCCAGTAATGATGGCTATCTCAGGAAAACTGTGCATTAGCCTTATGAGAGATGCATTGTGAGGAAGGTTACTGCTATTTGATTTCTGTTTCAAAAAATCTTTTAAATTGTCAGGCTAAAGGACCTTAGGATATAAATAGTCTCAAGATGGCACCTTTTCCTGAATATTGTCAGCAGTCATTCAGGAGGGAAAAGTGGCTGTTTACTGCTGGATATTTTGTTTTTCTTGATTCTCTTTATTTTATATTTCCTTCTTTCTGATTTAGTCTGCTAATTTAATTTCCTTGAAAAAAAAAAAAGACATTATTTGTAGATAAACTAGGAAAGATCTCCTTTAGTTTATCTTCCTTGACAAAATAGGACATTATGGGAAGATCAGTCTGAATTCATTCTGTATAACAATGTTTTGCATATATTTCTTCAATTCTTGATATTTTTAGTATCACATTGAACACCTTTCTATTTGGGATAGAGTCACTACAAACAATGACATGAACACCATTTCCAGCTTCAAAGAGGATAATTGCCTTTGTCCTAATAAAAATGAAGACAACCTAACAAAATCTGACAGTGGTTCTTGCTTGAGATGTAGTGAGGTAATTGTTTCAGAGGTTAGGAAATACAATCTTTGTTGTTGCTTTGTTCTGGTCAATGGAAAACAGAAAATAGCTGAGTAAGTATCTTCCTTTTCATAAGAGTATGTCATAATTTTATAGGAGTTGTATGAACAATTTTGTTCATTCTTCAGAGTTTGGACACCGAATGTAGCAAGCATAGGGTGAATTACATTGTCATTGTGAATACCTTATTATAATTAGTAGTAACAGCTGTTAGTTTTAACAGTTACTTGTTTACCTCTGCTGTGAAATACATGTATATGAGAATTTGCCTTCTAGCAGCCAAGCACCACCGCTGTGCTTCCTCTGGGCAGTTGTCACCACTGCAGAGTAACAACAGCTTGCTTTGTGCATCCGTATGTCCTTGCTTGTGTCCTGTAACCAGACTTACAACTCTAATGAATGAAATCCATTTTTGGAAACTCGTGACATGCTCACCAGACAGCGCTTGTTTTAAATGTGTGTGCTACATAAGTTTGAAAATTACATTTCCTTTCAGTCAGACAGATTGTTCTTACTATGATGAGCTAATAGACATATTTGATGGTGGTATTTAACTGCATAATTTATATGTTGTTAAATATCACCAGATGCTAAGTTAACAGTATTTACACTTTTGCAGTCTTTTTCTGCAGAAAACTTGGCTATATTATCAAACTACAACTTGAATTGATCTCACAGCTCTTCCCAACATCCACTTTTGTTGATTCCCACCTTCTCTCTTGCACCAGCACTAATCACAACAGTGTGAACCAGGAGAAGGAGTTAAAAAAACATACAAAAAAAACCAACCCAAAATTAAACAAAACCCCGTAAAATAACCCCCAAAACAAACAAACAAACAAAAAAAACCCAAAGAAAAAGTAAATAAAATCAATTCAAAATAACAAAACCAAACCCAATAACAACAGCTAGCCAAATTAAAACAAAAAAACCAAAACCAAACAAAAACTCCTTAACTGTGCAGTCTCCTATTATTGCCTGACTGAACTATTGACTGGGTCATCAAGAGGGTCAACCAAGATCCTGTGTTGGAGTAAGGGCATACGCAGGAGCTGGAGAGAAGGGAGCTATCCACCTCTGAGACTGGCACCACTGCCTTGGGGAACTGCTTTTGTGTGCTACAGACATGAAACAGCCTTGGTATCTCTTTATATGTCTCAGCACAGTGAAGCATGCTTTCATTTTTGTTGTTCGAAAGGCAAAAGTCAGTGTTATCAGATCAATAATTCATGACTGAAATCTCAGCACAGAATATCAAGTGATTGAAAAGAAGCTTTCATCACTTTGTCAAAACCACATTAATATCCTGTGACTGGAGAGGTATGGTATTGCCTTTTTTTAAAAAAAAAATAGTCTACTCAAATAGGTGAAGCTGTGATAGCATCCAGTACTAAAAAATCCAGAGACAATGGACTACCATCTGCAAAGGCATCTGTCTCACCAAAATCAAACAGTAAAAGAAGGCAGCCACAGAATCTGTATAGCAGCACTAGAAGAAACATAATGTGTTCAACTACGCATGGAGCAAGAACTGAGCAAGGCTGCACCTTGAATCCTGCATTCAGTTCTGTGTCCCTCCTTGCAAGAATGACATTGAGGAGCTGGACAATGTACAGTGCACTGGTGTGAGTGAAGGGTCTGGAACACAAGTTCTCTGAGGAGCTGGGGTTGTTTAGTCTTGAGGAGGCTTGGGGTGACCTTATCAGTCTCTACAACTCCCTGAAAGGAGTGTCTAGCCAGGTGGAGATTGGTTTTTCTCCCAGGTAATAAATAACAGACAAGAGAAAGTGGTCTCACATTACATCTGAGAAGGTTTAGTTTGGATATAAGAAAAAATTTCCTTACCAAAAGGATGGTCAGACATTGGAACAAACTGACCATCCACAGACATGGTTGAATCAACAACCTCCATGGAAGTGTTCAAAAGGCGTGTGGGTGTGGTGCCTGGAGATATGGTTTAGTGATGAACACAGTAGTGCTGGGTTAACAGACTTGATGATCTTTCCAATCTTAATGATTTTATGTACAGGAATAAGCACACACCTATTACCATCAGACCAATTGTCTGTGAGGGTGTTCAGTTGTGTAAGATTTGGTTGTAGAGGAGAAGCATGTAGAACTTTTGTAGGTACAATTTTTTATTTTTTTAAACAGTCTCTTGCTGAGAGTTAGTATAGTTCAGGATTTTCTGAGTCAGTTGTAGGATTTTAAGATTTCTCCCTTACTTACATATAGATAAAGCTATGGGGAGCAATTTGAAATGAACACAGTCATTTCTCTTTTGCATAAGCATGGTCACATGAAGCATAAATGATAGATTTTACTTCTCAACATCAATATGTAGGAACACACTGGCCGTTTTATCCCCTTGCGCTAAGATTTGATGCCTTGGCTATTTTTATGCTTGTGTGTGGTTCAGCTGTTATGCTAGCAACTGCTAGCTGAGATGGATGCTGTGGAAGTTTGCAATGTTATGAGGCATTTGGAAATGTTTCAAAAGTTGGAAATCTTTCACAACCTTGTCTAGTTGACACTTGAGTCCTTATATAGGCCTTCCTCTATGTATTGAACACATTTGCGGTTAGATTTTTGTAAGAATTCATGCTTTCCAGTTTTTGTAGCCATGTACACAATGAAGAGTCTACCCCTTTTAGTTAGAATTTAATAATCCTTTTTGGCTGTTACAACAGTAATGCGAATAAAAATGATAAAAGAAGACAGAATCTTACTTTTGAAAGGATGGCAAAATGGAGATAGGAAACAAAGGGGTACTTGATCTTTCCTTAAACCCACCAAAAAGTGCTTGCAGAGAATGAAAGGAAGAGAAATCTTTGCTCTGGCAGAGGAAGGAGTAAACAGGACTTCTGCTGGATATTTGTACTATAGAGGCTATATAGGAAAGAGAAACATCATAAAGATGCTTTCCAAAAGCTTCTTTGAAGCAGCTGTCTTTTATGAGAGAAATACCTATGTGTAAAATAGATATTTGCAGGACTCCCTCCCCTACTTCTCTCTTTCCCACACATTTGCAAGCATATAATTGATTTTTTGGTACAAAGAGAACAAAGATTCAGATAGCACAATGTCATAAACATTACAGATGAGTATTCTGGGAAGTGAGATATTATATCCCCTCCAGTTCGCTCCTTCCAGTTTGTCTCTTTTCTGTGGCTTTGATGTACCAGGAAAGAGTTTCTTTCCCACTAGGATATTGTGATATTATGCATATGGGTGCCTTCCAGCTCCCAGCTGGAGCAAGTTATCAGCAGCCAGCATAGGTACATCTTGGTTTTTTGGGAATCTGTATATCTCTGCTGGTCAGGAACAGGGAAAAGGCCCAGCCTTCTGAAACAACACTTCTTTCTGTCCAACAAGAATCTGTCCAACAATTGTCCTCAAGTGGGAACTGGAGCTCATATGTAAAGAGAGATTTTTTTTTTTTCCCCAGACTTAGAAATTTTCTGTTCGTGTGTTTATATGGACAGGTCAGGTTTTTATTTTAGACTAGAAATTAATGTTTATTGGTCTCACTGGTTCACTTTGTGAGTAAGAGTTGTAAGCACAGCATGGATTTTTCCATTGTATTTACATGTTTCACAAATAATTTCCAGCCAGTGATGGGGAACTGACATTACTGGCATATTAAAGCATTTTAGAAAAATAATGGGACTATAAATGCTGGCCTCTTTTTTAACTGCACTAGGTTTTGGTGCTTTAGATATTTTTATGCCTCTGTGTGTGGTTCAGCTGTTATGCTAGCAACTGCTAACTGAGATGGGTGCTGTGAAAGTTTGCATTGTACATTATGAGGCATCTGGAAATGTTTAAAAATAACCTCTGGTTCTGTTCCTGCTGGGATATTTTTGTTGGCCATGTTAGAAGCTTGTCATTTGATTCATTGAGAGCGACTTGTGTGTTAGTCTCTTAAAACCCAGTGGGAACTTAATAAAAGGTCAAAGCTGGTATGGATAGAGCTTTTACAAGACTTTAAGAAGAGGAATTAATAGTCAACATGGTGAAATGTCTTGTAAAAATCCAAACCAAGAGAAGCATTCATTTGCGGATGGTCAACCACTGCAACAAGGAAGTGTGCGTTCGTTTACTGCGGCATGGCTCCAAGATCACAGCCAGAAGGGCTGGTAAATTTACATTCATTTTACTGAAAACCCTTTTTTAAACCCTTTACCCCAGTTTAAGTTAATAGCTGTGTCTTGGAAAGGAACTATCCTATACATGTAAATGACA